GAAGAGTGGTGGAGTTACTCTGAAAGAGGAGGATGTAGTTGTTTGTAACGTCAAAATTGATTTGACTAGTGGAAATCATAATCCTCTTGAAAGGTATTCAATGAAGAATAATCATGCTTGCTGAACATAGACATTTAGTTTGTTTTAACTTACTATAATGTTATCCTAATGCATTATTTTTCTCTCTTATGGTGCATGTTTCTGTGGCAACATCCACTTTTTCAAGGTACATCGCCAAACCTACCTAACTATCTTTCATCAAGATATATCTTTAATCTTCTTATATATTAATTGGTTTTGCCTGTGTCTATATTGTATTAGTGGATTATAACTTTTTTTTTTGCACTATTAAACCTCTTACCTTATGCAGTTTGATAGTTTCCTTGCTAATAAGTTTTAGTTTAAACTGTTTTATATTACTTCTGTTGGGATACTGGGCTACAATTGTTCAAAATTATTGAAATATTTAAAGTGATTTAGTTTGGCCCGATTATTGGTGCTTAGTTTAGAATTAAATTATGCTAGCTGTATTGAGTTACCTAGTTTCAATAATGCATTCAGGATTATGAAAGCAATGAGAAATTTACAATACCCGATGACCGTGTAAGCCACTTGCTACCTATATCTTACCAAGATATGATAGTTAAGGTGTACTCTAAAAAGGCTGAACTGGTTAGTTATCCTGTGCATGTTTAAACTTCTTTCCTTTACCCATTCAGGTTGGATTCACTAATATATTGCTTTGTGCAATCCTATAGGTGCGGACAATTTCGGAGGCTTTTGAAAATTTTCAATTGAAGACATATGGGATCAAAGCACAGGCACATTCAACACCACAAAAGAAGCGACGTTACAATTCAGTTTTATGAAGGGAAATGTATCATTACTATGATACTATTTTTTTTTTGTTCACCTTTATTGTGTCTCACCCTTTCTTGGTATATATGCATTTTCTACAATTGAAATATAGTCTTAAGTCCACAGAAAACAATATTGACACCCTCTTAAGGTTGTGCTAGAGTTACCATATAAAAAAAAGACAATTATGTGTATAGCAGTGTTTAAGTGTAACAATTTCATTTAGTAGTACTTGGCAATGAGAAATCTTTTACATCACTCGTTAGTTGGCAGTTTCAATTTGCAAATGTTTCTCAAATCTTAAGTTTATGACAAATTGGTCCACATTTCATGGATGAGAATGCATCTTAACTACTAACTACTAAGCATTCATTATGTAATACAATTGTGTCCAATTGGAGAAAAAAGTTTGTCTAATGAACTTGATATAATTAAAAATGTAAATAAATAAAAATAATTAACTTTGTTATTAATTTAGTGACCGATTTAAATCGGTTGCTATTTTTTTAACTTTGTTATTGATTTAGCGACCGATTTAAAATCGGTCGCTATTTTTTTAACTTTGTTATTGATTTAGCGACCGATTTAAATCGGTCGCTATTTTTTTTACTTTGTCACCACTTTAGCGACCAATTTGATATATTAATTTCGGTCACTATTTTGCGATCGAAATAAAATTGGTCGCTATTTTGCAACCGAAATGAAAATCGGTCGCTAACACATTAGCGACTTGGCTTTTTGTGACGACGCTTTTCGGTCACTAATTTCGGTCGCTAACTGATTAGCGACCGATTTTTTGACATTAGCGACCGATTTTTTCGGTCGCTAAAATGAATTTTTCTTGTAGTGGTTTACACAGATTTTTAATCGGTAAAATTTGGGGAAAATTTTGAAAACCTAAGTTTTGTTAAGAAACCAATTCACCCCCTTTTGATTTTTGTCCGACCACGCGAACATTTCACTGCTGCGATTCTAACATTTGAGCCTTATAGGTTTAGTTGGTGAAAAAAATGAGGTTATTGGAAATAACTTTTTAAATGGAAACTCAATTTTTTAGTCTTCTATTTATAAATAAAATACATAAATCAGATTTAAAAAGTTATATATATTCATTTGTTACAAGAAAAATATTTTATTCAAATTTTTTCATTAATCACTTTTATTATTCATTTTAACATTTATTATCGGATGAGAAAACCTTAAAAGTAGATAAAATGGAAAATGACTATTAATATTTTTGTATTCATTAATAAAAATCACAAATACTCATAATATTTAATAAGGACAAACAAAGAAAAGAAATCTACTGACCTTTATTTTTAAATTATACATCTTATAAATATTTTGTAAATACGTATTTAAATTTTGAATAGTTCATAAATAATTGAAAAATATTTTTTTTATGTGTTTATTAACAATTTAAACTTATATATATATATATATATATATATATATATATATATTGAATTTATTTGAATGAGTAGTATAAAATGAAAATTAGAATAAGTAATCAACATTTTAAATTAAAATTGAAACCCTAGTTTTAAATAGTTAAGAATTTAAAAATATCCAGATTGAAAACTTTAATGACCATTAAATTTTAAAATAGTTATAAAAATTTAAAATTTTTAAATAATCTCAAATATCCATACTCAATCACTATTATGACCAGTGGAAACATTCGTTATGCGTGTTCATAATTTTATAATTAATTTTTTTAAATATTATTTTTTCTATTTTTTAAATATATTATTAATTTTTTATATATATTTTTTATTTTTAAATATATAAATCATAATAATTAATTTTTTAAAATTATAAATTTTTATTTTTGTCTAATCAAACTAAAATAATAATTGAAAAACTCTTTATATATAATTATAAATTAATATATATATATATATATATATATATATATATATATATATATATATATATATATTAAAGAGAGTTCTTAATCAGTATAATTTAAAAATAAATATAAATATTATATCATGAGTTTACATCTTAATTGTTTAAAATCGAAAAATATTACCTAAAACTAAAAAGAACAATATTTATATAAATAAATTTAATCAATTTTTAAATAATTTTGATATTTTTAATAAAATATTTATAATAAATAATAAATATTTTCGTATGAGATTATGATAAACTGTTGTAACATATTACATACGCATTGATGATGGAAACGGTGGTAACATATGCATTGATGATGCCAATACGCGTTCTTATCTCATTTTTTTAACATTTTATTATAAGATAATTTAAATATATTAAATTTTAACTTTTAATTTAAATAATAGTTTTTAATTATCACAAAAATAAATTTATTTCAATATTAAACATTATTTAATAATTCAAAAATATTAATTTGTTAGTAATGCAATTCAATCTACTTTACCCGATTTTTTTTTTATCAAAATTATTTCAATTAATATTTGTCCCAATTATTTTAATTAATATCGATTATAGGTTTTTTTTTTCCAAATTTCAGTCTGATTTTTTTTTTACTAATTTTTCAAAAGATGTCAACAGAAAACATTTTCCAGCTTACGTAGGAAAAACACAATCCTAGTTAACGTACAACAAATTATCAAACTTTATACAGTCTAAACCTCCCTCAAGAAATTGAATTTCCGTAATCTTCATAGATTAACAATTATATTTTTTTAATATATTTATGTTTAATAACATAATAATTAATCACGATAAACAAAATATCAGTAAAAAAATATCATTTTATTATTTTGAATTTTTGTTTTAACGGTGAATTATTTTATGAACGTTTCACTCCATCTCATTATATTATAAGAAGTGAGTTAGGTCAAACAACAATTAATTTAAAAACTAATATATATACTGTTATTCTTTGCTGCATATCCTTAAATATTAATTAATAATTAAAATTGTAACTTAAAAATAAATAAATAAATATAATAATAAAACTAAAAATATAATAAGATATTAATATATAAGTGAATATAATTCTCGTTTTAATAAATAAATTTTATAATAATAAAATTTATAATATATTAATATATAAGTGAATATAATTTTTATTTTAATAAATAATTTTTCTGAAAAAAACATTCAAATATTAATAAATAATAATGTTAAACTAAACCACTCAAATCAATATTTTTTAAAAAGATTGATAAATAAATTTTGAAGAGGATGTATTAAAAAATTTCGTATATATTAAATAAACGATAGCATAATACTATATAATACAATTTTCATCTGAGTTAATATTATATAATTAAATTAGGTATTTCATAATTTTGAAAATATAACTAAGGATAATATTGTTAAATACTATTTTTCTTTATCATTTTTAACAGGTAAGGAAAATGAAATATTTATTTATTATTTTTTTCCAAGGAAAATACTTTCTTTTCATTACTAATAACTTTTATTTTTTTTATTTAAGTAAATATTATTACAATATTAAATAATATTATTTAATATAAAAATATTATTAATAATATTTAATTATCAACAATTATATAATAACTGTCATTTATATCAGCAATTCAATTATTCATTAATTATAAATCCTCTATATTTATACTACAATTATTATTATGTCTATTAGTTAGCTTTGGCGAACAATTATTATAAAATTCAAGTTCGGGAAGTTTCTTAAAGTTTTGGAGATATTTAACTTTGTTATATTTGAAAACTGAGATCCATATACATTGAAGAGAGACTATTTTCTATTTTAGTTCTTTAATTATTAAATCAATTTCTAGTGAATTAATTATAAATGCCATTTTGAACAGAAAAAAAAAACTAAAATAATATAAACAGAGTAGAAACTGAAAATGAATAATTAAATGAAAATATAAAAGAATTCAAAATGCATTATATAGGGCCACACAATGAGAGTGATGAAACCTCTATTGCCTCAGAAACGTGTATGCCACCAATTCATTCTTAATACTCTTTTTGTCCATATTCTTGCAAGGGGTAGCCAAAACCAGCAAAATCCACGATACCACATAAACTCACAATACCACATAAATCACATTCACTTTCTGGTTATATATACTCTCACTTTCGCACAATCCATCACTCAAATGTCCATCATTTCCCTTCTCCAAACAGACATGAGAGACACAAGAATAACAAAGGTGAAGATGGAGAATCAGGATTTCATCAGCAACCTTTCAGACGACATGAAAATCATGATCCTCTCTAAGCTTTGTATTGACGAAGCTGTAAGGTGCAGTATCCTTTCACAGAAATGGAATGGACTTTGGAAACAAATTTCACACATGGAGTTGAATCTGAAGCGCATGGTGAAGCCCTTTACACAACTTTTGGAGTCACGGAAAGCTCGTACAATCCCTGATTTCGGTGCAATTGCTCCACCAATGCTCAAGAGTGTTTCTGCTTGTAACACTCTTGTTTACCGGATGATATTTAACACACACTCAGATTGCATGTCTAGCTGTCGCATCAAACATTTTCAGAAGAGTCTTGCATTTGGGGATGTAGAGAATTGGGTTAATATTCTGGTTGCAAGAAATACAGCGTTGAAAGATCTGAGCCTTGAGTGTGTGCCCCATTGTGAAGAACTAACGGACAAATTTGTGTCTGAAGAGTATATCTATGTACCTAGTTTTACGCATGGGGTTTTTGAATTTTTGAGTTCGCTTGAGTTGACTAATTACACCCTTGACTCTTCTCTCCCCTTTGGGAAATGTAACCAACTCAAAAAACTTAGAATGAGGAGGATATACTTGGATGATGTAACTCTCGGAGGAATTCTAGAAAACTGTGTGGTGCTGGAAAATTTCAGTTTGCTTGAGTCCACTGGTTTTAAGAGATTGCTCATTGTGAAATCAACACTGAGAGTTTTGCAGCTCCAAGCCCTATGTGTGGATGACATTCAACTTTGCTGCGACAACCTTGAGGTTCTGTTCATTGATTCTGTAATCTGTCCAGTACACAATGTGGACATTTCTTCCCCAAACCTCAGGACTTGTCATTCTTACAGCAACTCAATGTATGCCAGAATGCTTTCTGCTGAAACCGGGAAGTCTATTTTGAAAACGCATGAGTTTCTTTCACGTTGTAGTGGTCTTGTGGTAAGTTCCCTTCAAGATTTCTAGTGTTTTTTGTGTGTTCATTCATTTTTTATATATCAGGGTCTTCCTGAACGTCCTATACATATTCACATGTTCACTATTTTATTTATTTCCCAGGGGTTTCGGATGACCAATATATTTGAGAATGTATCAACCTTGTGCATCGACTTGGATCTAACCCACATGATAGAAGCTTGTGTTCTTTCTTATTTCTTGAAATTATGTTCAAATTTACAAGTTATTCGAATTGCTTTACCGGTATGTGTTGATTGAAATTTCGATAACAATGTTGCGCTGTGTACAAAATTGTAATAGATTGTTCTTCTTTACAGGTTTTTAGGCCCAGAATCCAAGGTAGCAGTAGCTCCAAACATGGTCATTATTCACATTTCATATTAAGCCTTTGGGAGTGGAGAGAAGTATGCAAGTGTATCGGTCAGAAGCTGAAGTCTGTGCACATCAGGGGATTCAGAGGGAGAAAAGAAGAAGTAGAAGTTGTGAAATACCTGATAACAAGAGCAACCATGATGAAGAGGATTACCATAATCTGCACTGACTCAAAGGAAGCCGCTGAAAATCTGCTGTCACTGCCTATGGCTTCTGCTAATCTTTCCATAAATTTGAAGTTGAATGCAAATAATCCAATGGATGAATTTGCTGAGCATCAAAAAGAGTTCCATTTATAAATAATTCTTGGTTTATTTATCATGTCAATTAGTACCAAAGCTAGAAAATATTTGAGTTATCCATGTTATATTCCCCTTGAAGTGTAGACAAAGATATTATATATGCTAATTGCAGGAAAATTAATTATACTTCATTATATATCAGATTTTGAAATTTTATACGTAATAAATATATATATATATATATATATATATATATATATATATTATAAATAATTAATTGAATGGAACGATCAATTCTTATGTTTAAATTATTGTCAATTTTGAAACTACATTATATCGTGACAACAATTTCTAAACCATGAATGTAATTACAAATTTTAAGAAGGCTTTATTTTCCCAATATAAAATTAAAACATTATCAGTTACAAGCATGGGGTTGCAATGAGTTTTAATTTGCAGACAAATTCTGTTCTGTATTCAGACAAAAGTTTAAACTTTTGAAGTTATTGTAACGCGTTAACTTAGCTGGTATCGAAACTACAAAATTGAAAGACCAGATTCAATGATAATTATTTCATTAATAATATCTTAATTAGTTAAACATGATTTTTAGTAAAGTAATTAGTTTGATAAGATGGAAGAATTTTCTTAAAAAGCAAAGTACATATATAGTCGACGGATACATAAGAAGACAATATTTGAAAATAATCTTTTTAATGAAATTTAATAATTTAATAGTATTAGGGATGACAATTAAACTCGTAACTGTTGGGGACCGACCCGTCCCGGTCCTAGTCCCGGTTCCGAGTTTGATGGAAAAACCCGAGTTGACCGAGGCGGGTTCAGGTTCGGGTTTTCCCGTTTTAAAAAGTCGGGGACGGGGATGAGTAATGCAATCTCCACCCCAACCCCGACTACATCCCCACCCCGAATTTATATTTAAATTTAAATTTTAAAATATTAATATTTTAAAAATATTTCTTTTTCTTTTTCTATTACATATAAGGTCATTTTTTTATATTTCATCATTTTTATTTTTCTTCTACCCACTTTTTAATTTTTTGTCTTTTTTAATCTTTTATATCAATTAATTTATTACATCAGTTTTTCATATTTCCTTAATCTCTCCCATCAATTTGTTTTTTTTTCAATCAATTTGATGAACACAAAATTAATTTTTTTCTTTATCTTTTTCTAAATATTTTACATAAATATTAGTAGTAACTAATATTATTTTATTTATAATTTATATTTATTATGTTTTATTATGTCATATTTTTTTATCTTATTATTCTTATTTATCATATATCAAATTTTATCTTAAAAAAATATTGTATTTTAAAGGTTTAAAAGGAATTGATAATTTAAACTTTTATTACTTTAAACTAATTAAATAAGAATGAACTTATTAAATATTTCCTTATAAACAATATATTTCATATTTTTAAATGACAACTTAAAAATGAATTAATTGATATATGTAGTCAAATATTTGAATATAAATAATAATTTTATAAGTATTCAAATATTTGAATACATAGTTATAATAATAATAATGTTATAAATATTATATATATATATATATAAATAAAAAATGATTAAATATTTCTTTTACATACATATTTTAATATAAATATAATAAATTAAAAAATATATTTAATAAATAATATTTATAAAATTATAAATATTTATTTATATATAAAAAATACATAGTAAAATTAATTTATTATAAATATAATTATCTTTTTTAAAATAATATAGATCGAGAACTGGACTGGGAACCTGAAACCCGTGAGGACTGGGATGGGCAAGTGATGGATGTTCTTGGGAGCTGAGTGGGCCGTGACCCCCAAAGTTTTGTAACTCCCATGTAATTTATGATTTTGGTCCCCCAAACTTAATGAACATTTAATATATATACTTGTTTATTTACAATTTTATCCTTCGATCCATCCTCAATTTTGTAACTCTCAAGTATAATTTATGATTTTGTCCCCTCAAACTTAATGATTATTTAATATATTTAAGTATATATTTACAGTTTTATCTTTATTTTTTATTTATTTATTATTTATTAATAATATATTATTTAGCCCTTAAAATAAATGTTGAATATCCACTAATAACGAGTACCATTACAAAAGTAGGGAACAGTGATTGTAGACACAAAACCGCGCACCCCGTTGCCAAGTATGCACACATGTAACAAAGCAATATCATATTTCAGGATGAAAATACATGCGTTAAAGTGTGTGGTCATACTCTTTTTTATAATATTATTTTAATTTTTTTTCTATTTTTAAATTTTTTTTTCTTTCTCATATTTTTATATATGATATCAAAAAGAGTAATTACAAAAATTTAATTTGTATATAATTATAGATAATATATATATATATATATATATATATATATATATATATATATATATATCATAGTAACTGTTTTTTCTTTAAATTATAATTCTTTTTTTCTCTCCATCAAAAGAGTAGTTACAAAAGAAATCATATTATATATGGTTATAGATATAATTGAATATGTTTGGTGGCTTAAAATTTTTAAATTGAATATTTTTTTCTCGTTAAGATTTAAAAACCCTTGTCTATTTTCTTGTCGATGATAAATAAATGATAAAAAGTTGAATCACGCAATTAAAATAGTGCGATGAAAAAATATTTATTACACAATTAATTTGATAATTAAATGTTAATTCTATTAATTTTTATATTTTTGTACCGATTTTCTCGAATTACTTTTAATACAATATCATATTTTGCTGAAATTTTAAAAAAATGTTACTCCCTCTAATGTATCGTTTAAGTTTTTTTTAATGATTTTCATTTATTTATTTTAATTGCAATAATTAAAATTTTATTCTAATAATAATTTAAATAAATAAAATACTTTATTTCATTCTAATAATATTACTCAACATTCATTAGTGTACTCATATATTAATAAAAATATTTATTGTTAAATGTATTTATGGAAAATTATAATAACTATCTATTGAAATGCATAATAATATTGAAAAATGTGCTTATTTAGACAATTATAAGTAATATCTATTTAAATGGACAATAATTATGAAGCAAGAAATAGAGAAGATGTAGATCATTCTAAGTCGCAAATTTAAAATCTTAGATGAAATATAAAATAATTAAAGGAATACCAAGTTAACAAATTTATCATTCATGACTTTTAATTATTCATTAATAAAAGAAACACATACTAATAATATTTAATAAGAAAAAAAGAAAAAAAATTAATGTTACATAATATTTTCCAAAAGTAAAAGTGCCATTTCCATGGATGATATTGAAATTATGAAATATTTTCAAATGCATGTATAAAGCCCATGGCTGCTCTTAAAATTATAAAATCAATTGAAAAAATCCCTGAAATTTAGCATAAAATGCAATACTGATGGCGCATTTAGAGGTGACCCATGACATGCAGTTATATTTTTTAGTTTTTTGCATAAAAATACACACGAACTAGTAAGATTTAATAAAAAAAAATCCAATATTATATAAAAACTATAAAATGCTTTATTCCATTAATAAAAATTTGACTTATCTAATAAAAATCAAGTTAAAAAAAAAAACAAACAAACATGTTTTAGTTCATTTGGAATTTACTTTTAATCAATAAACAATATTTTATAAAACGTTTACCTCTAGACACGATTTGTAGGGTAGAAATTGATATACCTGTCATCAATAATATTTTCAATACGTCCCAAAATTTTGAAGACAACTTAAGCCCAAAAGTAATGCAACCAGCAATTTATAGTTTTAAAATTGTTAAAAAAATGTTTAAGGAATAAAAGAAACAAAAATCTAAATGTTAATTACGCGAAAGTAAAACAAATAAAAAAATATCAGTAACTGCTTCAAACTTCTCCTTAATTTTCTCCACCTGAGCAAGAATCAGTTTTGGTAACTTCCATAATAAAGTCTTCACACAGTCTTTTTCTTCTCACAAACTGAAATCTACAACATCGTACTTCTCTCTTACGGCTGCAACTCTTTGAAAGATTCTCTACACACAGCTACAGGCTACAACTGTCAACCAAAGATTCTTGTCTTTGCATGCACGTACGTGCATTACCATATTTCATGTTTTTTCTCTTCTGCTGTTACACTCAGTTTACCTTATTATTTCATGTCTGATGTGACTTTACTTCTATCATAAGTTTATTAAAATTTCCATTTTCGTGTTGCAGGTTAATTTGTTATGATGCCTCCAAACACCTACTTCAACTGGGACGCTATTCAAATTTCAAACCCCTTCTATGAAGTCATGCAGGAAGAAATAACAACGCCAAACCTCCAACACCTTTTCTCCTACTCAGATGAAAGCCCTTTTCTTTCAAACGGGCTTTTCGAGCCGTACATACACCCTTCTTATGATTCCTTTGCTTCTCTTACTCATCGTGATAGTTTTCCAATTCAAGAATATTACCATCTTCCACCATGTCCCAAACGTCAAAAGTTATCCCATGAAAGAGAAATCCACTCCTCACTGCAAGACTTTACACAAACAGTGCTTCCATCCGATTACTTAGAGGGGTTTGCTGTGCCTTATGATACTTGTTATTCCTCGCAGACAGAGCAGCTGCAACAACACTTCTCCTCCTGTGAGTTTCCACCACGATGTGTGGATTTTCAGTTTGAGAAAACAGGAAATGAAAATACCATATCTCGGCAGAGCGTAGCAGCACGTGAAAGAAGAAGAAAGATCACTGAGAAGACCCAAGAGCTTGGGAAGTTGGTTCCTGGAGGACCCAAGATGAACACAGGTGAGATGTTTCATGCAGCTGCAAAGTATGTGAAGTACCTTCAAGCACAAGTTGAAATGCTTGAACTCATGCACTCCCTCGAGGTAATTGTATATTCCTTGACATATTTTGAATCATGCGGATCATAAATGATGGTATGTTTTATTTCACTTGAATTTATTTCACAGTTTGAAATTAATGTTTAGTAAATACCAAAGTTGAAATTGCTGATTATTGCATTAGAGAGATCTGGGCATTCGATTAGAGGAAGAGAATATGGTGAAGAGTTTGAGAGGAAGAAATAGAGAATGAGTTTGTTATGAAAGTGTTTTGGTAATTGTAGGAGAAGGAGAAAGCAGGAGTTGAAACGCTACGGGGTCTGGTTGTGTCTCCGTTTGTTGAAGAGAAGTTATACAGAGAGGAAAGGTGCTTGGTGCCAACACAAATCATCAACACATTCACAAATCTTCAACATCTTCAATCAAGCCCTACCATCCTTCACCATCTTAAGCACCTTCTCATTGAGACAAACACTGAGAAGAAAGCAAAGCAAGAATAAATCTTCATAACATTCATCATCTCTTCTGTTGTTGTTCGCATTTTTTTTCGAAAAATGATACTTTTTACGGTTGTCAAAATATCATGACCCTTTTTTTTCTATGTTTTTTATGTTGTGTTAGGAGTTTAGAGTATATTATATTCATTTTTAACATTTTTTATTTGTTTAAATCATGTAATAGTACATGAAATATTAGTTTTATTAATTTTGATATTAAACGGTAGTATTGAATATTATTTTTAGTCTTTGATATAAACAATTTTAATATATTTATTATGCTTATCAATTTCATTTGATTTTGTTGATATTTTTAGTTTCAAAATGATTGTCATTTACTTCTTTTAATGCAATAATTACAAATTATTTTAATAGTATTCTAAAAAAACATTCACAAAAATTTTATTATTAGTTTCAACCATGTGCTATGTTATTCGGAAGTGAACACACAGAAATTCAATTAATATGGTATCTTTAATCTTAAGTTTTAAGAATATATATATAAATTATAACAATTTAGTAGTTTTAAACTATTTTAAGATATAACATATTGGAAAGATAACTTGAAAACTAAATTAATACTTATTTTAATTTATTAAAATGTAAAAACTAAAATAAAACTAATAAATTAAAATGTTACTATTTAGAATCTTGTAAAAATCTTTACCTGGATATCATCGTGTGATGTTTTTATTGAACCCCCTAACAAAATCCACCAGAAAATGCGATTATCCCGTTCTGTATAAATGCTATCCACAATTATATGTTATTTAATTTTTATATGTAATTTAACTTTTTTATCGCTCAATTACAGGAAGGTAGAAGAATTTAGGAATTTAAAGAATCAAAAGACTTAACCCCGATGGGTTAGTTAAAAAAAATAACCGAAAAATAGGAAAAAAAAAATCTGAGTGTCAATTAAATATTATATTTAAAAAGAAATATTATTTAAATATAATCTCTCTAAGACTATTTATCCGATTAAACCTATTTATTATTCATACACAAAATTCAACAAGAAAAAAATAAATTTGTCTAATATAATTTAATTATTTTTCTTTCTTTCTTTCTTTATTTTTTTATTTTTCTCTCTCTTTATTTATTATTAAAATTTGATAAAGTGAATATTTTATTATTATTAAAGATAAAATATTTAAATGATAAAAATACTATAATTTAATATATTATATTTAAAAAATATTATATGATAAATTTAAAATATTAAGATATTATTATTATGTTATAATTTTAAATTAATTTTTTAATAAATATTTTTTAAATTATCTAATATAACTAATTATTATAATTTAGTATAATTATATAATTAGATCAAATTATTAAATAAAAAATATATTTAATTTATATTATTTTCAATTAGATGAATAATTATTTATTATGATAAAATAATTTTAAATTAATTATTTATTGTTAAAAAAATAAAATTATTTATTATTATCATAATTTTAAAGAATTAGTTAATATTTTTTAGTTTTACTATTGATTTTAAAATATTTATTTTATTATATTTTTATTAAATTTAATATAATAATTTAATTGAAAAACAAGTGAGAGAAGAAAGTACACAATAAAAATTGTCACTTTTTAAAAAATTATGAAAATGAGTTAAGTCGTATGGTATGCTTTCGTGGAACGACTTTAAATGTGAAAAAAGTTGTTTTACGACTTCAAGACAATATTTATTTATTTTAAATTAAAGTAATGTTATATCCAATTTTTTAAAATGTGTGTATATAGATATAAATTCATTATAAATTATTAATAATATATATATATATATATATATATATATATATATATATATATATATATATATATATATATAACAAGTATACATATAAAATTATTATAAATTATATATATTATTTAAAAAAGTAATTAATTTTTTATGTATATATATAAAATTGTATAATATATATTTTAATTTCGATATAAAAATTAAGTACCTTTTTAAATAAAATAAATTTATAGTGATATATATATATATATATATATATATATTAAGTATTATATATTATTAATAATTCATAATTAATTTTAATATATAAAAATTAAAAAAAAACTATATAATACGAATTCAGTTTAAAAGAAATTATAAAAATTATCCTCAAACCGTGTCACGCAGTATAATTTCTTTTCTTCGCATTTAAAATCGTTCTCTAGGACACGACTTAACCCATTTTTGTAATTTTCTAAAAAAGTGAGTTTTTTTTTTTAAGTAAAAATGGGGAAAATTTGTCCCCTTTGTAAAAAAAGCGTTTAAAATCTCGTCATGCACCCATGATGTGTTAAATAATCAAGTTAGCTTTAGAGTTTTTTAAATTTAGATAGCTGCACAAAAAAATTTATTCCGAAACAAATTTGTGACACTTTCAAGAAGGTCATTCTAACAACAATTCAAGATGCATTATATAAACTGTTCCGGAAAGACCAATCCATGATTAATTCTAAACTGTTGTTGGAAAGTTTATTCTGTAGTATGATAAATCTGAGTACAAGTGAGGTTTTAGAACGATCTTTTAAATCACTCAGCTGTTCATTAAATATTTCACATTGCTACTTCCTAGGTACGAAACTACAGATCTTGGCCATTAAGGGAACCATAGCTACTTGGTAGAATAATTTTCATAAGTTCTTAGGGGAAGCCAAACACTTTTATCCGAGAGAAGGAGCCTGTAACATGATCCTTATTCAAACAACACATAAACATGACCCTTATAAGGAAAATGTTTCACACAAATAATGTCAGTATAAATTATGATTGTTAACTCGCTATAAAAATGTTTCATACAAATATTGTTCAAGTACTAAATATCTTTAGTCAGAACCAGAAGAACCTTATAATAAATCAAACAATACAAACTACATATGGTGGCAGTTTTCAATGAAGACGTAAATTGCACTCACATAATATAATATTAGGCAACTGATTCACTTTACATACACTCGTCTAGCAAACTTTACAGTTCTTGATGTGAAGATTGATTACCACTCATGTACTCCCTTTGTCACACCAAGAATAATAGCGATTGTACCCAGAATAGCCTGCAAAAAACAGTTTCACAAAGCTGGTGTTACTTTCTCATGCATTATGAAAAAGTTTGATACAAGTAAACACGACAACTTCAAGTAATATAATTCTCAACTTAGTTAGAAACTAAACTTCAAGCACGTACTAAATTTCACAATGCTACATGCATCTAACAAGACTAAGTGCTCTGGTGATGTGGAGATAAAACCAAGAGGTTTAGTGCAATAATAAGTCTATAACAACATGCAATTCCTCAGGAACATCTAACCTGATTCAAACAAGTAATGGAATAGCTAAAAGAATACAACAACTTGAGAAAAACTGAAACAGGCTTCAAGTGAAAGTGAAAGTGCAAAGAAAGGATAGAATCACTTACAGCAACTACACAAGCAACATAACCAGGTTTCTCTCGGTGGTCTACTCTGGAACAAAGCATAATTATTGCCCCAACGTACCATGGAATAGCAGCAAGAAAGAAGCCTAGTATAAACCTTTACAACAACAAAATTTATTGGAAATCAAAAAGCCAAATATTAACATTGTAAGTAAGAAGCTCATCATGTATCAACACATGGGAAAAGAAAGGAAAATAATATATCTGAGAATTAACATTAGATAGTATATAAGGGCTCAACATAAATGGTATCTATAAGATAATAGAAAAAAAATGGAATCATATATGAACTATCCCCATCATGCATCATATCAAGACTGAAATGATCCCCTAGGTTCAAGTTCACTGGCACTGAAAAAAACTTCGCTAACCAAGGCAAGATAGAATACTTTCAATGAGATGTTATTAACCACATTTAATTGAAATATTTTCTGTGAGAAAGTAAAGAAAGGCATGCCTAATCATTTAAACAACCTACCAGTCTCACATTGTGAATAACGTATGCCAACTTCGATGTACAATGATATGGCAAAATGTTGTCCATACCTTGAAATATTAAGGAAAAAATTAACAAGTTCAACCTGATCATAAACTGATCAAAATAATCGCTTCAACCATCTTCCTCTGAATGGCAAGGGGGGAAGGGTGTGTCAATAATAAAGAATAGGTGTAGACACCAACACACAATAACTGCTGGTAATTCAAAGCAGCTTGTCCAGAAGGTGACCATGTTCAAAACATGTCAAATGAATTGATGTTTGAGAAGGGTCTCATGAAATGGCAAATCCTATGCCATTTCCCTCTTCTCTCCCTCTCAAGTTGTAGTAAGGTTCATACCCCAGCTCTTTAAATGCAAGCATGATCAGAAAACTATTATATTCCAGCCCCGGTAAACAGATTTGCTGTCATAACATTACATTGCCTATTTTCTCCGCTAAAAAATTACATTAGGTAGATTCTCACCAACAGAATTCAAAACAATAATGCATTTACAATTTCAATATTCTTTTGCGCTTGTACCCTTAGTCAATGAAATAAAATAAAAAAACACTAGAAATCAAAGAGAGAAACTTACCTCATGCACAATACACAAATTTGAGATTTAAGTTTTCAGCAAAAAATTAGACCAACTTTGTTGGTGAAAATATTAGTTGTGAAAGCAATTATCCAAAAACAGAAGATTGAAGGTAACATAAACCAAAGAAACAATAGTAATGGCAAACACTAAGAGGACTTCTCTTGTTAAATGGATTTAGCAATCTTCATCAACAGAATAGGCTAGGAACTATAGTGTGGTTTTGGATGGTATGTAATTTATATTTATATTATACATGGCTTCAAATGTCATGTGCAAAAAGGTAAAGTCAAAATCCTTCACTCGTCATCTCTAGTTATCTCCAAGTTATTGCTGACAGGTAATATGCCACTATGATGCAGGAAATTTACTTACAGACACCAGCCACAACCAAGGCCACAGCAACCAAGGTGGCGTTCCCTTACAGGTCTTCCTTCAGCAACTGCGTAACCTGAATCAATATCACAGAGCAAACCATATAAAAAATTAGCAGGCTGGAAAATGAAGCCTGTTACACAACAAAGAGACATGATAATCAAACTCCCACACATTAGATTCTCAAGTATAAAGACCAACTGCTCATAATTGTCTCCTAACATAAGCTTTGCTCTCACCAAACAAATGCTGCACAATTTCTTACTATTCAATTTAACGCAACCACACGGATAGCACACCCCCAACTTGACTCTTGATCGAAACAGCGTATACTAGTCTCAGTGATAATTGTAAAATTATCAAGCAGGGTAGATCTAGTCCTTCTAGCAGTCTATCAACCTGCCATATCATCCTGTAACTTAATCCCGCCACGTCAATCATAGCCAACACATATAGGTAAAAATCATGATGGAAAGGGATGATAAATAATCACAGACAAACCAGTTGATTCCGCAAAAACCCTGAATCACCATCACTAATCCACTCGATTCCTCAACATCAAACTGCCAACAACATTTTCCGAATCACTCCAGTCACCACACTCGCAACCATTTTCAACCTCCATTGATCAAACATAAGAAAACAGAAACAAACCAAAAATCTAACTCACAAAAACCAAGTCAACCCAAGAACAAATTTTTTTCCTTAAACTCCAAATTTTCATGAATAGACAGTTGACCTAGCACTCTCTCGCAGCACAAACCAAGTAGAACTAAACAAAGGTAAACCCATCACGAAAGTTCCAATCTTTGATCCAACCCATCACACAAATCATTATTCCAGAAACGAAATTTCGCACCTTTCATTTCCAAGCTCAAATCAAACCCAGAAGACTAAATAAAATACATTAAAATCAGAAGGGCTGAGCCATACCGGGAACTGCTTGGTAGCCCTGGTAGTACGGCGGAGGAGGGGCAGAGGAGTCAATCGCACCGGGCGGGGGAACAGGGTGGGGAAACCCGATAGCGGGGTGTGGCTCCGGCGGAGGAGGGTAGTTGGCGACCCCTTGGAAGGTGCCATACTGGGGGGGTGGATAGGGTAGTGGCTGCGGCGGAGGGGGGTGGTGATGATGGTGGTGGTGGTCGACGGATGAGGCTTTGGGTTTGTCTTCTTCGGTCATGTTTGTTCTGTTCTGTGGTCTGTCAGAGGGTTTTGACTGCTGCGGAATTGCGGGGAGTGCGAGAGAAATGGTTCGATCACAGCAGTGGAATTGTGTTTGTTTGTTTGTGGGAATGAATGAATGAACGAAGGGAAAATGGATGATGGTGATTTTTTGTTTTGTGGACCCACTTGTGTGAAGATTCAGGGAAAGTGTAAATATTTTTGTGTTTCTGAAAAGTACTGCTACGTGATAAAGAAACAGAAACGTGAAAAAGAAAAAGACAAAAAAAAGAAAAGAAAAAGAAGATTTGAACAGCATTTTTGTACAAACACTTTCCACAAGCTTAGAATTAGATAAAGAGGTTTTCTTCTTATAATAGGTTCTTCAAAGAAACTATTTCATAAATATTTACAAAATAAAAAATAAAATATTATTTTTCAGAAAATAAAATTAATTTAAATAATTCAAAAAAATGACATCATAGAACTTATACACATCAGATTATGTATAGAATAAATTTAGTTCACAAAAAAATTATTCCTTATTTTTTCTGAAAAAAAATATATGAAGAGTTGCTTAAGTAACATGTGGAATTGAATTTAATCTAATTCTGATTCATTATAATTAAAAGGTTAAATTGTTTTTTTTTTTCGTAACAACTCATCTCAATTATAAATTAATTGAATTAAGTTAACGGGTTGAGTTATAATGTCATATTTTTAACTCTTAAAAAAGTATTTCAAATTAGTATTTTTTTTAATTTATAAGATAAGGGTAGTAATTAATAATAATAATAATAATAATAATAATATTATTATTAAACAATAATCCTTAACATACTTAAATATTAAAATAATAATTATAAATTTATTTTACAATGAATAAGACCTATTTTAAAAGATTATGTAAGAAAATAAATATTTACCTAATAAGATATGTGATATGAAATATTCACTCACACAATTTATAAAATAATGTTCATATAATTAATTAATTAATTTTAAAACTGTTTTCTTTTATACAATGAAATAATTAGACAAGCAATATTTTTTTTATATATTATTATATAACTGCTTGATTTCATCAAATTTAAAACTGATAAATATATTAACAAAATTAAATAAAATTTGGTGTATCAAAAGTCAAGTCAACCGAATAATTAAACCCAATTCAACATAAAACCCCTAGCACCATGATGTTTATAGTAAAAAAGATGAAGTTTTCACTGTGTAGTTATTTAAATTATTTTTGAGAAATATTATATGTAGTGTTTTTGTTAGGAAACAATAAATATATGTTTAATATTTTATATTATATAAATAAGGATAAAAAAAATGAGAATTATTATATTCTTGAATAACTTTAGAATTATCTAACTAAACATACTACACGTCTTCTTTTACTACACCAATACGAACTTGATACTAATCATCCTAAATAAACTTTGTAGCGGCTATAATGTAATTGTTGATATTTATTTTTGAAATTATATAATTGTGTAGGAAATATATATTGAATTTTAAAAGCATATTATTTTCTGTTATTATGAAAAGTCCGTAAATTTAAAAATCAGCTTTCTCACCTTTGTTTCTGTTACTTGTGGGACTTAATATATAACAATATTGAACATATATTATTTTATTAATTTTTTTTAGATTTTTTATATTTTATTTGATTGAGATGATGAAAGTTGAGACTACTAAATATGATAAGAAATATGATAAGTGGAAAAGAGAAGAAGGATGAGACATTGAATATTGGAAAAGAGAAAAGGAAATAGTGATAAAAAGAGTAAATATTTAATATTATCGTATATAATGTAATATAAGATAATTATATATATATATATATATATATATATATATATATATATAATATGTGAGGAGAATAATTAATAAATATTTGATCATAATAAATAAAATTATTTGTTAGTATTTATTTAAGACAAAAAACGACTAATTTACCATATTGGAAAGGGATGGACCTAAAGAAGTTTTGAGTCCCCACAACTTTGGAGAATATGTTTAGCCGTCATAGTTTGAACATATAGATCATTGAATCAAGTATGTGGAAAAACTGTAATGAAGATGTCAACTTTCTATAGTTGTAAAGAGACATAAAAGAACTTTATGAATTCATTGTGAAGTTTTTATCTGACAATATGGTAGTCTATCTCAATATCTTTGGTACATTTATGAAAAGCAGGATTGAATGACAAATTGATTATCATAGTATAGTGAGGTGGGTTGAGTATAATGAACTCCTAATTCATTCAAAAGGTATGTTAATCACTGAAATTCGCAAGTAATGGAGACAATAGCTCGTTATTCAGCTTCAGTCAAGCTCTTTGAGATAGTGGTTTGTTTCTTGGAGTGCCAAGCAATGAGAGAATTACTAAGGTAAATAATGTAGCCAGTAGTAGAACGTCGGGTATCAGGACAAGAGGCCAATCAAAATCACAAAAGGCTCTTAGTTGGGTGCTGCTATTTTTGTTGAAGAAGATACCTTTTCCTTGTGCTATTTTGACGTAGAGAATAACACGCTAGGCAGCTTGATGGTGGGCCACAGTGAGAACGATGACAAATTGATGTATGTGATGAACAACATAAGTAATATTTGGTCTGGTATTGGTCAAGTAGATGAAGTGACCGATGAAGTGTCGGCAAGTAGTTGGATCGAGAAGGATATCACTGTTACTTATAAGAATCTTCATGGAATAGTTCATGGAAGTGAAGATGGGTAGACACAAGTATCACACTATCAACAAGGAGGTCAATAGTGCACTTGCGTTGTCAAGAGATGTAAACCAGAATTGTTTCGGGCAACTTCAAAACAAAAGAAGTAGGTGAGATCTCCCAAGTCTTTAACCTTTAAGGCCTTGTTTATTTTCGAGTAAAATGAGATATTATCAACATTATTCTAGGTCAAGACAGTGTCATCCACATAGATAAGGAGAGTTGTTATGCTAGTGCTTGCAATATTTAGAAATTGTGAGTGATCGACAAATGATTGTTTATAGTTATTAGATAATAGAAATGTTGATAATTTTGTATACCATTGATGACCAAACCGTTTGAGCCCATAAAGAGATTTATGAAGACAAAAAACTTTTTGTGCACTATAGAAGGTACTGAGAGGAATTTTTATGTATACTTTTTCATCTAGGTTGCCACGTAAGAAGACATTATTGACATCTAATTGTTTTACATGCCAATTATGGTTGATAACAAAGGAGAGTAACAATCAAATGGTAGTGATTTTTACTATAAGGGAGAAAGTCTCATTATAATTGAGTCCCTCTCGTTGAGTGTAACCTTGTGTCACAAACTTTGCTTTTTATCTGTTGATCGAGCCATAAACTTTGTATTTTATTTTGTACACCCACTTATAGTTGATTGCCATTTTGTTCGAAGGAAACTCGGAAATTGTCCAAGTCTGATTTGTTTCAAGAGCATAATTGTTGTCCTTCATGACTTTTACCCAGTGCTTGTTCTAACATGCTTCATTGTAGAAAGTTGGCTTGGTGTTATTATTGATGTTCATGATCCACCTTTTAAACAAAGTAGATAAATTTTCATTAGATATATAGTTTGTAATAGGATAACAAATACTTATGTTTGAACTTGTGCTGGTGACATAATAGTCTTTAAGATAGTTCGGTAATCACGTGATTCTATTTATCCTTATAATGGTGAGGAATTGAGAATCGCTAGAAGACTGAACATTTTTAATGGTATTAGGATTGCCAATAGACCAATCATGGTCAATGGTTCTAGAGACATTGACTAGAGGTCAAACATCATCAATTGTGTCGAAAGCTTCATTAACAGACCAAACATCCTCAGTGTTGACATTAGTATTATCAAAAGTCTAAGTGTTATCAAATGAAACATCGCTACAAGTCTAAGCACCTTTAGTAGTATTAAGAATATCAATATAAGGTTGAGTACCATTAGTAGTACGAGTAATGACATTGTGATCGGGTCATAATTAAAATTAGACTCAGTACATAGTATGTTAGGTGAAAATTTCATTATTATTTTCTTCATTAAAAGGAAAAACATTTTCATAAAAAAAATTACATTTCGAGAAACCTTAACATTGTTGGTCTTGAGATTATAAATGATGTGGCATTTTTTGTTAGGATGTAGTCCAAGAAAAGTATGTAGATTGGTATGATTATCTAGCTTTTTTTTATGGGCAGTCAGAGTGCTAATATAAGAAAGGCAACCAAAAACATGAAGATTGCTCAGATCAGGAAGCTTACTGCATCGTCATTCGTAAGGCAAGTTGTTGTCCAAATAAGGAGTAAGAATAGAATTGATCAAGAAAATAGCATGTTTAAGTGTAAAACACCAAAAATTTAAAGTAAGTTTAGAATGAAAAAGTAAGGTACAAGTGATATTTTAAATATGCTGATGTTTTTTTTTTAACAATGTCATTTTGTTAGGATGTTTCAATGTAATTGACATGATGAATAATACCTTTGGAATAAAAAAAATCATGTGACATTTTGGACCATTGTCTGACCTAATAATCTTGACATGTTTTTCAAATTGATATTTTACAAAGGTAATGAAATTGACTAAATGACTTCTGGTTTCATCTTTATTCTACATAAGATAAACTCAAGTATACCGAGGGAAATTATTAACAATAGTAAAGAAATATCTATGACCAAGCAAACATACCTCGGGACAAAGACCCCAAATGTAAATATGCAAAATAATGAAAGGTGTTTAGCTATATGAGTCATTAAGATTAAGAAAGGGACACTTTTGTTTGGCCAAGTAACAAGCATTACAAGGTTGATTTTCATTGAAATGTATATAGGAATGTTGTTGTTCCATAATGAGTAAATGTTCATTAGATAAATGTCCTAATCGAGCATGTCAAGGACAAGGACCTTTATTATCAACAATATATGAGTGAATGAAATGAGATCGGTCAGTCGAGGTGTTAAGAGTGTATAAACCGACCTCAAACATTAACTAAATCAACCTTCCCTTTGATTTTAT